AAGATCTCCTCTGTTATGCTCCTGTGTTGTCAGCTCCAAACTTCAATTTGCCTTTTAGTCTGCAAGTGGATGCAAGTGCTAAAGGAGCTGGTGCGGTTTTGCTACAAGAGGATGAGTACCAGATTGAACATCCTGTCTCTTACTTTTCTAAAAAGTTCTCCAAGACTCAGCAAAACTATAGTGTAATCGAAAAGGAAGCTCTTTCCTTGTTGTTGGCTCTTCAACATTTTGATGTGTACTTGGGGAGTAGCTCCAAGCCTATTGTTGTATATACTGATCATAACCCTTTGGTCTTCCTTTCCCGTATGTCAGGTTCCAACCAGAGGCTACTACGGTGGTAGTCTCAGCCTCAGACGTCACGCCCACGGAACGTTGGCTAAACGTCTGATGCATATGGTACACTTAACTGGAAACACTTCAGGAATGTCGAAGTCGTCATCTGATTGGTTGAATTTTATCGGATTTCCGGGGGGCGTCAGTGTCGCGTTTATTTTCGGTCCGCCGGGAAACAAAGCGCAGATGTGTGATTGCGGAAGAAAAACTGTTGTGTTTATATGAGTGGCCTATGTGAGTGACAATGAGCATTTCTCAAGATCAGCTAAACGTAGTTGTATGTCCCCTCCAATCTATTATGGAAGATCAAGTGAAGTACTTAATTGCGAAGGGTATATCAGCTGCGTTTGTGGACAAACATGAAACAGACGCTGACATCGCAGCTGGCCGATTCAGTATTCATATATAGGTCGCGCACACTGGATTATAAGGCACATAAGATACTGCAGAGTCAAACGTTTGACTGGGTTTGCGTTATGCATCCACTAGATGTGCTAAAGGCTAAAGGGAATGTAGCGAGTGCGCGGCGCCGGAGGTGAGGCGTTTATTTAGTAGGCGTGAGCGCACTGGGGCGGGGACGTAACTTACATTCGTGTGACAAAGCGGACATAAGATGGACATGAGCGAGTTCGTGGGTGAATTTAATAACACGGAGCGTTGTTAGTTAGCGCCTCCGGTGACTGCTGACTGACTTGTTGCACACCGGTCTGTTGTTGTGGGGACATTTCCACGCCCCGAAACATGACGCTGAACGAAACGAACTGTAATTGGTTGTTTGACATGTCGGTCTAACGGCCTTATGGGCGGGCCTTGACCAAAGAAAGCTGCTATGAATTCCAGACCTTCAGCAGTCAGTCTGAAGGTCTGGCTACGCGAGACTACTACGGTGGTCACTCACTGTCCAAGGGTACAATCTGGACATACGACATAAAAAAGGCACTGAAAATGTAATGGCAGATGCTCTTTCTAGAATTTAAAATGGACGTTGTTAACGGTGAACTCTGTACCTTTTTGAAGTAAGAAAAAAATGGCAAGAGTGTATATTTGATTACAAACTGTAGTTTGTATTCTTGGTGGTGGGGGTGTTACGTCCTGGGGACGTATTATTATGAAAAGTGTTTTTGATTTGTATTTTACTTTGTTAAATTGCTGTGTTAGTTGTGCTCTGTCAGTCTCTCCCTCACTCTGATTGCATTGCAGCTAATTAGCCACACCTGAGGCTCGTGGAGAGTTGCGGAGCTGCACTATAAGAGAGCAGAGTGAACATGGCTTGAGGAGGGTTCACTTCTCCCCTGCACCAGACTTGTGGTGTTGTGAATATGGAGTGCTGAGCTGGTGTATTGACCTGGTCTGTGGAAGACTACTCTGTCTCTGTGTGTACACGTTGCTGTTCAAAGATAGCAAGTAGGGTTGCTTATCAAGTTGTGACAAGTTCTTTAAGGATTTCTTTATAACTCTGTTCTGGTAACTAAAAGGTAGTGTATAGAAATCTTTGCATTTGTTTTCTTTTATTTCTTTTGGGGAACGGTAGGGAGACCGAGTCATCTTTTATTTTATATCTCATTATTTCCTGTTTTTGGTCAGTCAGGGAGTAGAGGGAAGCACATGCTGTTTATTTATTTTTCTTTTACCTGTATAGGTTATTTAGTTCTGCTCAACCAGTAAGAACCTTTTTGTTTGTTGTTTTGGTGGCCATCTCCTGAAAATTGCATTCCCCCATAATTTTCTTTGTTTAAATACAATAAATCTTTTCATTGATGATATCCAGTGTTGACTCACATTTCTGGGGCAGAGGATTGAAGGGAACCCTCCACGCTTGCGTTTAAGCTTTACTTAATTTTTATTTAAGTTTGTTACCCTCTCCCAACCCTAGACTGGGAGTAGCTCGTAACAGCAGTAACTACTGGAAAACAGTAAAGATCTACAATCTTTATTTGAAGCTAAAGTTTTGTTTAAAGGGTATTTACTTATTTTGATAATAATTTTGAAGGTTTAATTTAATGAATTAATGCTGTCATTTAGGAATAATATTGTGCTAGAATCAAGATTGCCATTATTTAATGATAAATCGTGCACACACGGAGCTGTAGGCAATTTGCTTTCGAAATTAATATTTGTATGTTAACGTTACCAAAAGTAGGCTAACCCGCGCCCAAGGCCCCCTTTCCCGCGATCCATGTAGGCCTATAGACAATAGAGATAGAGAACATGGGAATTTGTAAGTATGCAAAGTACATTAGTTTTATCCAAAAACAACTCGCTAATAAAGTAGGCCTATAATCTATCCGTGGGGGAGAGAGAGCGCAGTCCGAATTGGTCACACCGAACGCGTCAAACACGTCAAGTCTAGTTAGACGCTTGAATCTTCTGCAGCCCGCTCAAGTTCAAAATTTTCTACTGAGAAACCCAGCTAACAGGGAACGTTCTTAGAACTTTGGCTAACATTCCCTAGAGGTTTGGTTAATGTTTTAAATAAAACATTTGAATGCAATGTTTTAAGAATGTTTTAAGGATGTTTTCTCATTTCAAATAATGTTCCTATAAGGTTAAATGTAAACTAAGATATAACATTTTCACTGTAACATTTTGAGGATGTTTTGGGAATGTTGCTGAGATAACAGATTAAACAATGTTCTCAATAAAACATTAGCACAATATCTCATAATAACAGAGGAGGAACATTATCAAATCAACGTTCGCAAAATGTTTTGAGGATATTATTTAGTCCTGAGATGATGGAATGTTTTTATAAAACGTTCTTGTAATGTGACTTGTTAACAAAACTAGAACATTGTCACTGTAACATGTTGAGGATGTTTTGGGAATGTTGTTGAGATAACAGATATAGAATGTTATCAATAAAACATTGGTACAATGTCCCATAAAAACAAAGGAGGAACATTATCAAATCAACGCTCGCAAAATGTTATGAGGATATCATTGAGGCCTGAGTTGATGGAATGTTTTTTATAAAACATTCTTGTAATGCGACATGTTAAGAAAACTAGAACGTTTTAAATTTAACATTTTGAGGATGTTAATGAGGTAAAGGTTTGTAGAATGATTTCTTATAAAACATTGAAACAATGTTCCATAATAACAGAGGAGGAACATTATCAGGTTAACGTTCGCAAAATGTTTTGAGGATATTATTTAGTCCTGAGATGACGGAATGTTTTTTATAAAATGTTCTTGTAATGTGACGTGTTAACAAAACTAGAAAATTTTTACTGTAACATGTTGAGGATGTTTTCGGAATGTTGTTGAGATGACAGATATTACAATGTTCTCAATAAAACATTGGTACAATGTCCCATAAAAACATAGGAATAACATTATCAAATCAACTTTCGCAAAATGTTATGAGGATATCATTGAGGCCTGAGTTGATGGAATGTTTTTTATAAAACGTTCTTGTAATGTGACGTGTTTAACAAAACTAGAACATTTTAAATTTAACATTTTGAGGATGTTAATGAGGTAAAGGTTTGTAGAATGATCTTTTATAAAACATTGAAACAATGTCCCATAATAACAGAGGAGGAACATAATCAAATTAACGTTCGCAAAATGTTTTGAGGATATTATTTAGTCCTGAGATGATGGAATGTTTTTTATAAAATGTTCTTGTAATGTGACTTGTTAACAAAACTAGAACATTTTCACTGTAACATGTTGAGGATGTTTTGGGAATGTTGTTGAGATAACAGACATTACAATGTTCTCAATAAAACATTGGTACAATGTCCCATAAAAACATAGGAATAACATTATCAAATCAACTTTCGCAAAATGTTATGAGGATATCATTGAGGCCTGAGTTGATGGAATGTTTTTTTATAAAATGTTCTGTGACGTGTTTAACAAAACTAGAACGTTTTAAATTTAACATTTTAAGGATGTTGATGAGGTAAAGGTTTGTAGAATGATCTTTTATAAAACATTGAAACAATGTCCCATAAAAACATAGGAATAACATTATCAAATCAACGTTCGTAAAATGTTTTGAGGATATTATTTAGTCCTGAGATGATGGAATGTTTTTATAAAATGTTCTTGTAATGTGACGTGTTAACAAAACTAGAACATTTTCACTGTAACATGTTGAGGATGTTTTCGGAATGTTGTTGAGATAACAGATATTACAATGTTCTCAATAAAACATTGGTACAATGTCCCATAAAAACGGAGGAGGAACATTATCAAATCAGCGTTCGCAAAATGTTATGAGGATATCATTGAGGCCTGAGTTGATGGAATGTTTTTTTTAATAAAATGTTTGTAATGTGACGTGTTTAAACATTAACACTGTAACATGTTAAGGATGTTTTGGGAATGTTGTTGAGATAACAGATATTACAATGTTCTCAATAAAACACTGAAACAATGTTCCATAATAACAGAGGAGGAACATTATCAAATCAACGTTCGAAAAATGTTTTGAGGATATCATTGAGGCCTGAGATGATGGAATGTTTTTATAAAACGTTCTTGTAATGTGACGTGTTAACAAAACTAGAATGTTTTAAATGTAACATTTTGAGGATGTTGATGAGGTAAAAGTTTATAGAATGATCTTTCATAAAATATTGAATGTAGGCCTACCATAATAACAGAGGAAGAACATAATCAAATTAACGTTCGCAAAATGTTTTGAGGATATTATTTAGTCCTGAGATGATAAAATGTTTTTAATAAAACATTCCTTTAAATTGACTTTTTAACAAACATTTTGCATGATACATTTTGAGGATTTTTTGTCGAAATGTTGTTATCTTTTATAAATCATTGGCACAATAACAACATTATCAAAGCAACATTCATCAAATGTTTTGTGGACATTTACCTGAGATGACAAAATCTCATAATATATGTTAACAAAAGCTCATAAAATTGTAAGGATATTTTAAGGAAGCTGTTTAGGTAACAGATTTTAGAATTATTTTAACCTATAGAATAATGGCATAATTTTCCATAATGAAAGAGGAACATTGTCAAAACAGCATACATAAAGTGTTTTGAGGATATATTAGGCTACTCTGAAATGAACTGTTGCGACAAATGCGTTTACAAGAGATGAGAAGCTGATTGGAGGTCGCTGTAGATCGACGTTTAAAACCACCAATCACAGCGCGATGTTCCCATGACGTAAGAACATTTGAACTCGACAAACAGCGCAAATAAAGCAACGTTTCTGTTGAAGAAATCGGCGCAGAATGTCCGTTGTCTAAATTGGCGACACATTGGCCCAAAACAACAGAACTCCTGGTCAACGGAACTCTTTCACAACTGTAAGTTTTTGTGTGTATTTTTTCAGTTTACATAGCTTTCTTTTATCCTTGATGTTTTTCAGTATTAGACCTAACTTTCTTTCTTAGAATTGTATGACAGTCGCAATAAATCTGAGTGTATGCTACTTTTGAATAACAGCTAGATTTGTTTTAATGCAGACTCCAAACGGACTGTTTCAAGATGATTAACTTACCGATGACACAATAAAGTCTCCATTTACAACCAAGGTAGCCTACTATAATGCCGGTATTGTGTTCTATGCATACGAATACTGTATTTTTACTTAAAAGTGATCTTAATGTCTTTTGAAAGTAAAAGTTAATAATAATTCAGTAATTCATATAACGTTAGAGGTTAACGTTAATGAATTGGAAAGAGCGTTTCTCAAGGCTTCAGGTGTATATAACATTCTTCTTTCAGATGAATACTATCTGAGTTATATTTAAAAAAATGTCCTGACTCTTCTGACTTTTAGAATGGCAGTGAATGGCCGTCTATCAAGGCGCATCCATCCATGATAAAAGTAATCCACCACATGACTCTGGCGGGGTTATAAAGCCCTTTTAAAGCGAAGCATTTGTGTAAGAAAAATATCCATTTTTAAAACTTTATTGTATTAAGATATTGGATACATGGATTAAGTATGTTTTAAATTACAGAAACAAAAAAGATACTCATAATTTATCATATTTATACTTTCAATAAATTAGTCTTTACATAATTTCTGACTGCTAATTAGGCTGGCTAATTTTGAAAGTTTTCAACGCAATATTGCTTGTGATCTTAATGTATGTGTATTCTTTATGTTTACACTTTTGCATGATCTTCTTTTTTAGGCTATGAGGAAAAACTCTACCGTGCACACAGAGAACAGAGCTCAATGCTGCTAACTGGGGGAGCAGCTGGACAACTAGAAGAGAGAACAGTAGAACACTATTAATACAGATTCCTGGATTATTCTTCTGCAAGAACCAAAACAAGCAAAGACTGATGATGAGTGCTCTGAGCAAACACCGGAGTCAAGACGCATGAGTGACTTTACTGAGTTCTTCATGTAATGTTGGGCATTTACTGTACGCAGAACTTCTAATAATTTATGTGGATGCCATTTAAACCTGTTAGATTTTGATGTTTTAGTTTTGAGATTAATAAAATGTTATGCTTTAACAATGTTATAGCTAATCATTTTTGAGGGGTTTTAAGAGAACATTTTGGGAACAAAAATAAACTTCCGCTAAAAACTTTATAAGAAAGTTAGGGGATAATGTTTTTAAAATGTTATGATTAAACCTTTATAGAAGGTCATCACAAAACATTTTCAGAGTGTTCTTAGCGAATGTTATGCCATCTTTTAAGAGAACATTCTGGGAACAAAAAGAAAACTACCCGCTGAAAATGATATAAGAACGTCAGGGAATAATTTTCTAACAATGTTAGCATTTAACATATTTAGAATGTTTTTAGACAATGTTATTAGAACTTTTAAGAGAACATTCTGGGAACAAAAAGAAAACTACCTGCTGAAAGTGTTATAAAAACATTAGGGAATAATGTTCTAACAATGTTAGCAATAAACATATTTAAAATGTTTTTAGACAATGTTATTAGAACTTTTAAGAGAACATTCTGGGAACAAAAAGAAAACTACCCGCTGAAAATGTTATAAAAACATTAGGGAATAATGTTCTAACAATGTTAGCAATAAACATATTTAAAATGTTTTTAGACAATGTTATTAGAACTTTTAAGAGAACATTTTAGGAACAAAAAGAAAACTACCCGCTGAAAATGTTATAAGAACGTCAGGAAATAATGTTCTAACAATGTTAGCATTTAACATATTTAGAATGTTTTTAGAGAATGTTATTAGAACTTTTAAGAGAACATTTTAGGAACCAAAAGAAAACTACCCGCTGAAAATATTATTAGAACACTGCATGGTAATGTTCTCAGAACATTTTTAGAACAAAAAAATCCTAGCTGGGAAGACGTTCGCGGCAAACGAGTCACCCAATTCGCGACGCCCGGCGCGAATGATGCGTCTTCGCGTCTTTGCATTGACTATGAATGTACTCTGCTATCGCAATTAAATTCGCGTTCGGTGTAAACACACCATTAATGCATATATGAGCCAACATCATGGTCATATATTTTGAAAAAACACAATATATAGCTACTCGCGTGCAAAACACTTATTTCATTCGTTAACATGTAGACTACAAATGTTTGCATTCGTAAGAAACGTTTCTAATTGTTGATGCAAAATTTGTAGCAATTCTGAAATTCAGTTAAAAGTAAATTTCTTGACCAAAAATGCAATAAATGATCATGTGTAGGCCTAAGTACAAAAATTAAGCTTACCGCTTCTCAACGTCTTCACATGTGTTTCATATTTTTTTTGTCTGGATAGGCATCACGGGAAATTGCATAGCCTATATCACGTGGCTCATACAGTTACTTAAACTGATATAATCGATTTACTTAATTTTGATGCAATTATTGTAGTAGTTGACATGCATTATGTTTATTTATTATTTTATTTATGCATACATTTAAGTGCACCTAGTAGCTTATATTTTTTTGTTACACACATATGTTAAGTAAACGTTGAAAAGTTAGGAATACTTATTTTTTTATGTTTGATCCAATTACTTTCATAAGTATTGGTTGTTCGGCTGCTTCAAGATCATACATGCTTTCGAAACAGTACTGTGATGTCATACACCAATCGTCTGTACTCTGTACAGTGCTGCTTCAAGATCATACTGTTTGCTTTCGAATCAGTACTGTGATGTCATACACCAATCGTCTGTACTCTGTACAGTGCTGCTTCAAGATCATACGTATGCTTTCAAATCAGTACTGTGATGTCATACACCAATCGTATGTACTCTGTACAGTGCTGCTTCAAGATCATACTGTTTGCTTTTGAATCAGTACTGTGATGTCATACACCAATCGTCTGTACTCTGTACAGTGCTGCTTCAAGATCATACTGTATGCTTTCGAATCAGGACTGTGATGTCATAAACCAATCGTCTGTAGGGGAGACCCGGGGCAATTGTAACGTATTTTACATTTTCCTTAATAACTCACAAACTACTTGAGATAGACTAGTCATCTTTTGATACAAGAAACATATATATGTGCACTAATTAATAATACAATTTATATATTTTTACTTATAAGAACAAGACTAAAATATTCAATTAAATGCAGTGTGGGGGCAATTGTAACACTGAGAAATAACTCCTATTAACCCACTTTATCTCAAATAAAAGCCTACCTCAAAGTAATCACTTTACTGCTGTTAATTTTAAGAGTTTATATAATATTCCCACTTTGTCAAGCACATATAAAACACACATTATTTTATATAAAAAATGCTAATTGATGATTTGTTAATACTGGAACAAACATTTATTTTAATACACCCTTTTAAAATGAAGTTTTACAATAGAATTTAGTGAAATATGTTCATTTTTTTAACAGAAAAGTATGTCAACACACACAAACAAGCTTATTACAATGGGCCTTGTGGCTCGGGGGCAACTGTAACACAGTGTTACAGTGCTGTTTATGTTCGTTTTTAATCAATAACCTAGGGATAAAATGTATACAAGTTTAAATTGACAGACATCTAAACTTTAGACAGCAGAAGAAAAATACTGTACATCCAAAAAATAACTTTCACACCTCAAAATCAGTTTGTCGTTAATAACTTCTGCTAAAGTTGAAAATGTCACGCTTCTTTTCCACAGATAGAGAGAGAATCCTATTGGGCATGTACAGATTAAGTGTCATCACTCTAGCTTGTTTCTGATTGGAGGAATTGAGTGTGGTACAATTGCCCCCTGTTACAATTACCCCGGTCTCCCCAGTGCTTCGTCAAGGTGATCAAAGTACACTGCATGCTTTCGAATCAGTACTGTGATGTCATACACCCAGGGATGTAGTGAAGGCTAAATGCGCAAATGCCGTTTACGCACCTCCCAATATTCGGGAATTGCGTTTACCCACCTCCAAAGTGCGTTTATCCACCTTTCAATTGCGTTTATCCACCTCTAAATATCCTAGTTCCTAAGACATTTTAAATTAAGCTTATGTCGTTAATTTAGTTTCTTTAATTTAGTTAATTTAGTATAGGTTGTTAAACCTAAGGCGAACTTTTTTACTCATTAAGACGGTCGCCTGCCACCACCTACTGGCGGTTTAGTGTTAAATGTTTAAAAGTAGCATCATTCTTTCTTATATGTAAATTAAAATCAATTTCATAACATTATTTCATGCAATTGTAATTTTTCAGTGTAAATGATTTAATTTGATCAACCCCTAGAGTAACAGCCCTATGGTGTCTTATTATTAGAAATAATTGAATTTATTGATCAAATTTAGGAATTTAAAATGAAATATGAAGCATACATTTAATAATATTGGGGGAGGGGGGTGCCCTTTAAAGGTGCAGAAATTACAATACGGTGATTTAAATATCAAAGCTGATATATCAATGATGAGAATATTTTTTAAGAATAAGTCAAATTTTTAAAAAATCTGAACAAGCAACTTTTTTACTCGGACAAGTGAAAGGCAGATTTACTTAGCATATGAAAAGGCTTAATGTCGAGCCCTCCCTATATAGCAATGTCATCAGGAGACACACATACACCGGTAGGCAGTGGCCCACCTTACCTGGTGACCATGTCTTGGTCGGTCCACCAGAATTTATAGTTTACCCACCTCTTCAACTACACCTCTGCATACACCAATCGTCTGTACTCTGTACAGTGCTGTCGATCACTGTCTGCTGTATGCTTTCGAATCAGTACTGTGATGTCATACACCAATCGTCTGTACTCTGTATAGTGCTGCTTCTAGTTGATCACTGTATATTTTCGAATCAGTACTGTGATGTCATACCCAGGGATGTAGTGGAGGCTAAATGCACGTAAATGCCATTTACCCACCTCCCAATATTCGGGAATTGCGTTTGCACCTCCAAAGTGCGTTTATCCACCTTTCAATTACGTTTATCCACCTCTAAATATCCAGTAGTTCCTAAGACATTTTAAATTAAGCTTATGTCGTTTTAGTTTCATATTGTCCACACTCTAAAAAATGATGAGTTGGATTTACTTAAAATATATATGCACCATTTTTGTATCAAAAAATGTGCACATATCTTTTAAGTAAATCCAACACAGTGCAGGCCATGTGAGATCAAAATAAATCTTAGTTCTGTTAACTTAAAATTTAAGCTCATTTATATATATAAAATAAGACAATTAAATCAGTTGAACCAACCATTTTAACTTAGTTTAGATCTTCAGCTTACATGTCTTAAAATAAATAACATGCAAATCACACACAATAAAGCATTTCACTTTATTATTTATTTAAATTGCATCTTAAAATATATTCAAATAGAAAATAGTTGTTAAAATAATAATAATAATATAGTCACAATATTACAGTTTTTCTTGGATCAAAGAAATGAAGGCTTGGTGGGCAGAAGAGACTTCTTTTAAAAATATTAAACAATCTTAGTGTGTGTGTGTGTGTGTGTGTGTGTGTGTGTGTGTGTGTGTGTGTGTGTGTGTGTGTGTGTGTGTGTGTGTGTGTGTGTCTATATATATAATTATATATATATATATATATATATATATATATATATATATATATATATATATATATATATATATTATTTTTTTCAAAAAACAATAAAAAAACAATTAAATGCAACAAATTAGTCCATTATTAAATACCTATAAATATAAAAAAATAGTCTATTAAATAATATCTATTAATTTAAACAAAACAGAAGTTAATTAATGACTTTCCTCCAGAGGTTATGAACGAATCTCTTCAAAAACATTTTAGCAGTAACTACTGGAAAACAGTAAAGATCTACAATCTTTATTTGAAGCTAAAGTTTTGTTTAAAGGGTATTTACTTATTTTGATAATAATTTTGAAGGTTTAATTTAATGAATTAATGCTGTCATTTAGGAATAATATTGTGCTAGAATCAAGATTGCCATTATTTAATGATAAATCGTGCACACACGGAGCTGTAGGCAATTTGCTTTCGAAATTAATATTTGTATGTTAACGTTACCAAAAGTAGGCTAACCCGCGCCCAAGGCCCCCTTTCCCGCGATCCATGTAGGCCTATAGACAATAGAGATAGAGAACATGGGAATTTGTAAGTATGCAAAGTACATTAGTTTTATCCAAAAACAACTCGCTAATAAAGTAGGCCTATAATCTATCCG